GGTGCTGATGCCATGAGTGCAATTAATTTAAGCGTAGTTGTTTGATAACTATGAAGAGAGATGTATTTAAATAAAGTGACACATTTTATGAAAATTATCTAAATATCCTTTACGATATATATGTGAAAATTGAACTACGTGTATTAAAGTAAAATAAAATGTTCACTCACCAAATTTTCGCACTTTTCCGGAATAGTACTCTTATACAGTTGTGATTTTATGGCCAATTGAGGTTCTTTTGACGTTTGTCATCGTTTAATTCAAACGAATTCAAACTGCTGTCATTTGGCGTGTAATATTATAAGGAGCATTTATAAGGCTTAGATACTGTCAAATATGTACTTATAAAACCTCTTTTCCATGTTTTTCCAATATTTAAACTCCAAATATCACCTATGATATTATGAAATCGATAGATATATATTATAAATATATATATTTAAAAAGTTTATAAAAATCGATTTGGTCGATCGTATATCGATAATTTGAAGTCTAATTTATTCTTATTCATTTTAATCTACCAATTTCATAATATCATAGATGATATTTGGACCTTAAATATTGGAAAAACATCGAAATAAAAATCACTGAAAAATGCTAAATGTGTCCAAATATCACAGGCGATATTTCAATGTGGAAATAACTGAGATACGAATTTTCAGAGCTATAGCTTGAGTTTTGTACTAAAATGGACGAAATTGTCAAAAGACCATGTTCGGCTCGCTTTCGAGAATATTGCCCTTATGTGTCGTTCCGGACTGGCCAAGGCCACACTCGCGCTAACTTCCGTTCGCTGTGATATATAATAGTTGTACAATTTCCCAAATACATTTTTTTGAATATGTTTTTGGTTGGACACTTTCGTCAAATCAAATCGAATGAGAATCTGTGTATGTGAAACTTTACTTCGACTCGATACTTACCTTTTTTTCGCAAATTTTAAATACTAAATAGATGTGGAATAAAGCTTTCAAATTCAGCCGGCACATTTTTCTGTAATAATTCAAGATAGATTCTCCTGTGATGGCTTACCCTACCGCAAAAGGAGTTAGCTATGTATGTAAATAGTTCAAATTCAAAGACTACCGCCAAAAACTGGATTCGTGTCTTCATCATTGGTCTTCATTTCATAGATGAAATGAATCAAAAATGAATGGTAAGAGATTTCACCATCATAAATATTTTTTTTAATAACAAAACAATTGGAAAATGTTTATCAGTTAATTTGTTGAGTTTGATAAATCACAATTAAAATGAGTGGTTTTTTTCTTTCTTAAAAGCTATATTATTATTGTCCGGTTGAATGAATCTCAATTAATTTTTTTTTCTTTTCTGAAAAACTAAAATACTATTTTGCTGTATTCTTATAAAATGATCAGACTAGCCTTGGGTTCGAGTCAATTCATTGTAATTGACCGCCCCTAAGCTATGCAATTGTTGAAGTGCACTTTCAATTTGATCGGCATTTGGTGGATTTAATAAATGTTTAATAAATTTAACCGGTTCTGTAGTAAAGTCCATGACTTTGAGACAATAAGAGAGCAAATTTTGATCTGTCGTTAAACATTAATATTATATAAGACTTTTAAGTACTGTCACACATGTACAAAACGAAATCAACTGTATTTGATGTTGTCAAACACCAATTTCGCATCGGCTAATATCGGTTCACTACGCAACAGGTAAATCACCGCACCAATCTGCATCAACTTTGATGGTCTGAATAATCAGTTTTGCTTAAGGAATTGCATGGCAATAAACCAACAAAGTCAATCAAACATTCAGGAACTTAAAAAATACTTCAAATTATAATTAGCCGGATTTTTCTTTCTTGTAGTTTACAACATGAACTGAAGCCATAATTCACATTCATTTGTTAAAATCATTATTTCCCGCCTTTTGGTAAGAAAGATACATGCATGCGCACAGAGTTTTTATTGCTTGGAAGTAGTTTTTTTAATTTAAACCGGCTTTCCTTTGCTTTCATATAATCTGTTCAGTAAAAATTAAAATTATTAATAGCAAATAAGACCTATGTTCTTTAAATAACAGCTATTATACAAACCTTCGACATTTAGACGATTTAATCGTACATAACATTCACGAATGTTATATTTCATCAATAATGTATTTTCCAGGGCGGTTTGGTATTCTGAATTTTGCAAAGATATTTATTAGATTAAAAAAAAAAAACAGTTAATGTATGTCATTTACAAAAGTGGCATAATACAAACCAGCGGCACTTAGACGATTTAATTGTACATGACATTGGCGAATTTTAATTAATTGCTTCATTTTAATATTCAAAATAATCATGCAAAATTTATTGCCAGACCGGATAATAATAATTTATTGCATTTATAAATACAAATTCGCAAATCTCAAACGAAAAAATTCTCAGTTTATCATCGTTGATCATCGCACCAAATGTCACCAAACGAAATCTGTCACCAAACTGTATTTGATGTTCTCAAATACCAATTTCGCATCGGCTAATACTACTTATCGGTTGCAATACACAAATCACCGCACCAATCGGCATCAACTTTGATGGTCTGAATAATCAATTTTGCTCAACGAATTGCATGGCAAACTTGATGCATACAATAAAGAAAAATACGTCAATCGAACTAACCGGAACAATCAGAAACAATCAATATTCTTGCCGACGTACGTGAATAATTTTTTTTTTTAAATGAACTAAAATGAATAACCAAAATGACCTTTCATTTATGAAAGACTTAAAAGATAAGTTTTTCAGGAATGAGATTTATGTGAGTAATTTTCCGGTATTTTTTTTGGTTGAATTTTATTTTTGTTGCATTCAACAACATATTAATATATCTACAACAATATTATTTTCAGTCTTATATATCAGACGTGTTAATTGCTGTAAATCCATACAAAACTATTCATGAATTATATACGGTTGATGCAATTAATATGTTTAAGGATAAAGATGTTTCTAATGAAATATTGCCGGCTCATTTGTTTGTGATTGGTAGGTAATCTGAAATAAATCAATTTTATCGCTCCACTTATTCACTATAATCTAATATAGCCAATGAGGTTAAGAAAAACAAGAGCACACCACAATCAATAATTGTTTCTGGAGAATCGGGTTCGGGTAAAACTGAAACGTCAAAATGTTTATTGAAATTCTTCTCTGGATCGGAACAAACACAAGAAATGATTAATGCAAATATTTTATTAGAATCATTCGGCAATTCGCGAACAACAGAAAATGAAAACAGTTCTCGCTTTATAAAAACTATACAGGTAATATTTCTTTTCAATTCAAACAGATATTCAATATCAAACAGATATCAAATATGATATTTTTTTCACCGGATCTGTCTTATTATCTTTCAGTTGAAATTGGACTCACTCAGTATTGCTAGCATTAAACTCTGTACATTTTCTTTGGAAAGTTCTCGAGTTTGTCCGGGAACCTTTGATACATTTCATATTTTTTACTATTTGGCATATGGAGCTACAAGCGAATGGAAGAAGAAACTTAATTTAGAACATTGTTCTTTTCCTGTAAGTTTGTCTACAATTTATTGGATTTCATTTTTAAATTATTCAATTCTAATTTTACTTTTATTAGATCTTGACAAGGCACGATACCAATCAAAATTTGAGAAACTTTGAAACTATTGACGGAACATTATACAAATTGGGAGTATCAGAAAATGAGAAAAAAAATATATATGTAAATCTCTCGGTCATTTTACATTTGAGTAATGTAAAATTCGAAGAATTTGAAACCGGAGCACGAATTACAGAATTTTCCAAAAAAAACGTCATCATCGCAGCAAATTTAATGAATATAGCCGTTCAGGATTTAGAAGAAGCTATTCTTTTCCGTTCAACAAAATTTCCAGACTCAATTATTATGTAAGATTTTGTTAGAATTCTCTATCCGGTGGGAAACTTCTTATTTATTTCTTTCAGAACACGCTTGAATGTGTTTGCTGCATCTAGAGCAAGAGATACTATCTCAAAAGCTATTTACGATGACCTGTTCAAATCAATAGTCTTTTATATTAATCGAGCATTTGAAAACAATCATCAATCTGATCAAAGTCCGAATATTAACATCCTCGATATTGCCGGCTTTGGTATAAATAACCATATACAAATTCGTCTTGAATACATTCCAGAATTCACGTTATTTTCGTTTACTGTCATTTTTTTTTAAACACAGAATGCTTCAATTCATTAGGCAATCGTTTCGAGCAATTCTGTATTAATTATTCTAACGAAAAAATTCAAAACTTTTGTACACAACGACTCATTTGTGATGAGATAAATTGGTATAAAGAAGAATCTATCAACGTTCCTGAAATTTCATTTCCAGGTAACGACATGGTTCTTGGTAAGTACTCTGTCACCATCAGTCACCATGTATAAAAGTCGAAAATGAAACAATTATTTTTTATTATAGATATGCTTGAGAATAAGAAATTTGGAATTTTTTCACTACTGGATGAAGAATGTCGAATGCCAAATCCACAAACAGAATCTTTCATACAAAAAGTAGTATCCAGATACAAAAATTTTAGTGTTTTTTCTTTATTATGTAGTACAAAGCAGGATTTTGTTATTCGTCATTTTGGACAGAATGTCACTTATACACCGGTTAATATTTCACTTCAAACTATATATACTTAATATTTTAATTAAATGACTTATGGTTTTTTTGTAGGAAAATTTCATTGAACACAACGCTGAAGTGCATTCTAAGTATTTGTGTAATTTACTTGTAAAAATCCTAAAACCGGCAGCTTCTGCACCTCAACATATGTACAAATTTTCCAATGCGGTTAATGACAAAAAGAAAACATATTCCGGGACGTTTATAATGGAACTTGAATCACTAATTTCTGAATTAAAACCAACGGTAAATAACAGTTACATTTTATATGTCTTCATTTAATCTCCAAAAATTCATTGCAGCGGCCGTATTTTATTCGTTGTGTTAAACCAAACCGAAAAACAATGCCAGATATTTTTGATGACACCATTGTTTTTAATCAACTACAGTCATCAGGAATGTTGGCTTATAACCAACTGATTCAACTCGGTTTTCCAATCAAAATTATGATCTTGGATCTCTTTGAAAAACTTAAGTCGTACCTTCGATCACATCATATTTTAATGGGAGAAAAAAAATGCTGTCTAATTTTCTTACTGTCGATTGGTTTTTTATTCAAGGATTTTAAATTTGGAAATAAAGAAATTCATTGTCGCCCGGGAAATTCTCATAAAATTAAATTGATGAATGTGAGCTTCGAACAGTCGAACAATCAAATTTTAGTCAAATTTACAAAACAGTACATTACTTTTGTACGACGTAAATTATGGATAGTTATTCGATTTATTAGTATGTGTTCTTCTTTTCTGAACCATTTATTATTTAAAAGTTCTAACATTGATTTTTTATTTTGATTGCGATAATTTTCAGTGATGTTATTAAACCGAAAGAATCGCAACCGAAATCTACAAATATGCAATACGTCAGGCCAAACAGAAATAATTTGTGAAAAAATAACAAATACGGAGATCACACAAAATCTTTGCGATACGTTACCAACACAAGCAACAAAAAATAAACCAATAAAGACAGCATATGAAAAAATGCCTCAATTATCAATTCGATTTGATGGCATACAACATTTACCGGACTATGATCAGCATGATGGCGCAAAAAGAGGATTCAGGTGTAAACTTGATGGGTGTGGCAAGCAAACAATAGTATATTGTGTAAAGTGTAAAGTGCACCTATGCTTCATACCTGGCAAAAGCGAACGTCAACGAAACTGTTTTAAAAAGTTTCATATACTTGAAGAAAATTAGATATCAATTTGATTCTATCTGTTGTGTAAAACAAATTTTATTATATGATTGGCCGGAATTTAGCAAAATATAAAGTTCAAAATTAAATTTATATTATGGCCTGAATACAATTTATTAAAAATGACCGATTAACTTATAAAAAACTCCAAATTAATGTGCCGGCTTTTCCTCTCTTGTAGTTTTGTTGCCACTGTTTTTGTGGTGGTGTTATATTAAGTACAATATCATATATGATATGCTCTCAGATAAGAATAAAAATAAATTTATTGTCTACTAACATTTTTCGTATCTGTCTACATCTATCAAGATATCAATCTTTGATAATTGGTTTAATTCTAAGGTAATGGAAAAGATCTGGGTGTTTTGTTTGATTGGCATTGCTTGGAAGTTGACATTGTGGTATATCAGTACCGGAGCATTTTTTTCTAGTTGACCTTGTTACGACTTGTCCGGATTGTTGCGTTTTATCAGCATTTAATTTGTTTCTATTTATCATTGGCTGTTTCGCCGTTTTTCCAGCCCGATTGCCTGAAAAAATACCGAAAAATACAAGCTTTAATTGGTTTGAAATCTCGTGACTAGCAGTAACTAGTTGAACATTTCAGTATTTTTGCATTACATTCAATATTTTTCGATTGCTTATCTATAGATTTTACAATTTTGTGTTGAACTCGATTTTCGATCAATTCAACATTATGCGTATGAAACCGGAGAAAACAGTTTCTTGATGTATTCAAACATAAATGCACCTTGCACTTTTTACAAAAAACGTGTGTGCGGTTTTGACACCTTTTAATTTTACACAAAGATCGTGAAGAATTCCCATCGTACACTGCCCAGTGATCTTTCCCATCAAATCGTTCCATGACTCGGTCTTGAAAATTAATAAAACTCATTTCAAAAAAATAAATTAATTTATAGAAATTTGTGCAAATAGTATATTTTAAATATCTCAACCATACTTTTTCCATAAATGATCCGGATTATAAATGAACCAAAATGAACCTAATTGTTTACCGTGTTTGCAAAATTGTAAAAAGTGTATCAAATACGATATCACAATTGTCAACAGTGACAGTGACAGTGACAGTGCCATCTATTGAATAAATTACACTACTTTTCTTTAAAATATATTATAAATGACATCAACTGTGTTTGATGTTTCTAATTATCAATTTTGCATCGGCAAACACTATACATTCATACCGGTACAATAAACAAACAAACGTCAACGAACAATCCAAAACAATCAATGTTATTGCCGGCGTATTTATTATTGTTGTTCTTGTGTGTTCGAAATATTAAATAAGTTTTTCTAAAATTAATTGACAAATATATAAGAATAATCCAAAAATTAACAGAACTGTCGAGCCCGGTCGATTGCAATGAATAATAATAGCATTTTAGAGGTGAAAGTATTCCGGCCAACTGTAGCTGAATTTGATGACCCATCAAGTTTCATGAAAAAAATCGAACGAGATCCGGTATGTCAAGCAACTGGCTTAGCAAAGGTAAGTAGATATTTTGCAAAATAAATTCCCGGATTGTGTTTAAATCACAGATTGATATTATGGGTAGTATTCATTCGATATAACCAAAACAAAAACTCTAAACCGCACAAATGAAAAAATATTAATAGAATCTTGATTCTCTTGATATGTGGTCTTTTGTATCGGCACTACAGAAGTTGTAATTTAAGTGAACTTTAATACTGTGTGATTTATTCAGTTGTGTAAAAATTTCTCTACAACAAAAAAAATTGTACAGCGCCGCAGCTGAGAACTATGCATTTTATATGTTTCTGTTGTTTAAATGAAACACTGTAAACTTTTTCTGTCCCGGCTAACTGCGGCTAACACAATGAAAAACGGGCAACAAAACACACAGAGTGTGCGATTGTAAATATTGTGTGTTTGTGATCATAAAAGTCAGTTGGAATATGAGCAAAGATTAAATAACACATTTAGATTGTGTCCGGGGATAGTGTATGGCCGATCTATTTGTTGATCAAATGGACAAAGATTGAAAATTTTACTGCAAAAATATTTATTCAGAGCTGTCAACGAACGTCCGAACGGTGGATGCTAAAATAGGATCCAAAGAAAAATTTCAAAACAAAAATTTCATATTTTTTCATGTTATATCGAGTGGGAACTATCCGTTTTTGATAATCAAAAAAAAAAAAAAATCAATCCACTCTACTGTCTTTGATTCTCAACTACTTATTCATAAAAGTATGTATTTCGTTTTAGATAATTCCACCAGTACTTCGAAAGCACACACCTATCATAATTCCGGACGATTTTAGATTGAATTCCTGTATTTTACAAACTACTAAGATTCTTAATGAAACTGGTGTGACTCATTTGTTATTTCAAAAGAAACGTGCAATGACATTGGGTCAATTCAAAGATCTGGCGAAAAACTTTGAACATTCTGAAATGTCTCTTGCTCAACGAGAGACAAATATTTTGCAGAATTTGTGTAATATAACGAAAAAGCGAACACCGGTACCAATTTATGCTATTGATAATGTAATATCGCGCTTTCCGGAAAATTATCCTAATTGGAATTTGGATAAGTTTCAAGGGGGATCTATACTAACTGAAACAGAAATGCCCGGTATAAATAAGTCTTTTTCAAATTATGGTATGTTTGGCACATTTTTTGGAATGCACGCTGAAGACAGCAATATGGCTTCTATCAATATGCTCCACGAAGGCGCACCCAAAACATGGTATGGTATTCCGGCCACAATGAAAATAAAACTCGAAGAGTTGTGGAAGACAGAGATATTCAATGAAACCGGTTGTGATCTTTTTATTAAACACAAAGCATTGATGTATCACCCAAAAGTATTACGCGATAATGGCATAGATTTTTGTAAGGTAATGACTATTTTTTGTTGTGTATCTATCTCTCTTTATATTCCATAAATATATCTTTTTATGAAAGGTTGATCAATTCGAAGGTGAAATGATTGTTACATTATATGGGGTACTACATCAAGGATTTAATCATGGTTTCAACTGTTCTGAGGCTATAAACTGGGCTTCACCGGAATGGAAAAAATACTATGATAAAACTACATTGTGTTCATGCCGGTATATAAGCACTGTTTGTTTTCAAATTTGAAAAAAAAAAAAATGAAAATACCTATTTGACTTAATTCCGATTATTTATTATACATAATCTAGGCCATATGGAAAAAAATTGCACGCACTTCATGAACTTCTTGGAAAATTCCTCGAGAATGTGAGTTTGGAACCATCGAATTTGGTCGAGACCGAAACTTCTCCAGCTAGCCATAGCCATTGTCCAGTTGTCGATGATAAGCCATCAAGGTCTTTATGTAAAAATAAAAATTGTTCCGGATTGACAAATGTTTATTGCGAAATATGTAATTTACATTTATGCTTGACAAGAACGAGAAATTGTTTCAATGATTTCCACAGTCGCAAATTTCCATCAAATGATTTCCATTTGCCTATGTATTCTGAAGAAAAATTTCGGTCACGATGTCATTTTGAATGCAATATTCCAAGCAATTTGACATATATAATTTGTTCAAAGTGTAATATCCATCTGTGTTTTAATCATAACCGGAATTGTTTTCAGTCTTATCATTTGCTAAAGAACCTCTGAGTGAGACGTTTATATAACTCAAATGTGGATTTAAATGCGAGTGAGAGAGGCAAACACATAAAAGGCTCACTTGTTATACAAACTACTTTAGGAGAGACCGGATAATAATTATAGTTAAGTTATTCAAAAATAATGCCGTTGTTAATAGATTTTTTTTTATCAGTAATCAAGAATTGGAGGAGAAGAATAGTATTTTTCATCACTGCACAATTCATCATATTTAAAGAGCTCATATTAATGAGCAGTTGGAAAATTAATTTGTGAAATTTATATTATTTACATGAAAGGAGAGAAGCAATAATTTTTCATTTACACTCTCAAAAAAATGCTTGATAAAAATCACATTCTATTACATTATATTTATTTAATTAAAATATTTTCAAAAAACCACCAAGGCGAAGGAACGCTGTTCGGTGCAGTTATTTATTTATTAAAATTAAAATCAGAAAATAAAATAATCAAAAATACATTTGTTTGAGCAATGCGTTCAGTGATTTCATCGATATTATTGTTATTCTTTGCATTGTAGTTTAAATTATTGACACATTTGGTGATTCAATTGGAGCCGGTCTTTAACGAAGTGGTTTTGAATGGTTTACAAGATTGATACCACAACTTCAACATTCAAGCAATGCCAATGTAACACAACACCTAGATCTTTTCCATTACTTTAGAATTAAACCAATTATCAAAGATTAATATCTTGATAGATGTAGACAGATACGAAAAATGTTAGTAGACAATAAATTTATTTTTATTCTTATCTGAGAGCATATCATATATGATATTGTACTTAATATCACACCACCACAAAAACAGTGGCAACAAGTTGAAAACTACAAGAGAGAGAAAAAGCCGGCACATTATAATTTGGATTTCATAGATATCGCTTTGCATTGTTGTTTGGATTATTTACACATTTGGTGATTCAATTGGAGCCGGTCTATAATGAAGTGGTGTTGAATGGTTTACACGATTGATGGTTGTTTTCTTTTTGAATAATTTGATCTCAAAGTTGTTGGTTCAGTTGTTCATGATGAACGTCGATTTAAATAAATAAATTTTCAAGCAAGATTTACATTACCTTAAAAATAGCTGTAATTTGCTGCAAAATCAAAAAATAAAAGTCGACACACAGTTTTGTTGTACTTAATTTTCAATTTTAATACATAGTCTGTTTTTGTTTTTTCGGTTGCTTAAGGCAAGTTGTATGTTGTAGTTTTATTTCGTCTATTCTTTACATGATTTTTTGGCCTCTTCTTAAAAGCTATGTGTTCATAAGTATAAGTATAAGATTCCGGTGATTTTTATGACATGTTTGTGATAAATCGTAAGAAAATGCGAATAGTAAAAAAATAATGAAAAAAAAAAATATAGAAAATTGAGCAGAATGTTTTTTCATTTAAATAAGTGTTGCTACCGGCTGATTTGATTTTTTTTTTTGTGATTCAATAATTTTTTTGGTTGAAAAAAAATTACTTTTTCATTTGGTTGGTAAAGAAATTTCCGGATAATGTCTGGCAAACAATTGTTCATTCCAAAATTTCGGATTTTGGGAATTTATAAAATTAACATTTCTACAATAGCCAAATCCAAGTGTTAATTTATTTTCATTTTTGCCGGGTAGTGTATCTAATTCAAAAATTTTATTGAAATTTGTTGTGCTTGGCACAACTATATAGCCTTGGTGTGGCTCCAGAGTTTGTACATACGTGTGTATGATTTCAAACTCACTAAAAATTTCCCGGATTATATCTTTGAATTCGGCATTTAATGGTTTTTCTCCCATATGCCAAATATCATGAATGGCAATAGTCACTTCGTAAATTTTGCTAGTTGGTATTTCTATTAATGTAGGAGAATGTGCCAAAAATTCCACCACTGAAGTGATAAAATTGTTGTCAGAAACATCAAATCGTAAATTGCGGATCGTTTTTTCAATGATATTTTCAATTTTCACAGTTATACGGTTAAAATATACTTTTAATTCTTCATCCATATCAATTATTGGAATATTAAGAAGACTAATTATGGCCGGCGATAATTTCGTGATATTTTGTGCGTAAAAATATGATTCTGATGCATTTTGTCGTACATTTTTTCGTTCATAACAATAAAAATTACCGGTATTTTCTTGAACAGAAGACTTTAAATTAATGTTAAGTTTTTGATTGGTTTTGTAATCAAACCATTTTCCATCATTTTCGTCTCTGTATGCAATTTTATGTCGTAGACCGGCCGCAATGCAAAATCTAATTAAATCCGGGTTATTTGCGTTTTTATTTATATCCTTATCAATTACATTTGAGAAATGAAATTTGAGAAACTTTTTTAGATCATCATAGAATGATCGATTTTTATTCAAAAGATCCGAATTTATTTGCATTTGTTCATGGACTTTGGCTATATTGTACTTTAGGCAATGTTGAAAGATGGTCAAATCAATGAAATGATCTGATTCACCTTTACCATTTTTATTGTTTAAAAATCCGGCTATTTGTTTGGAGGTTTCAATTTTTCTCGATTCTTTCGATCGACCGGTTTCTTGGTAAATACAAGAATCATTTTGTGCGCTTAGTGTATACATGACCGGATCTATACATTTAAATGCAATGCCATAGATTAATGAAATTACAACCGGGACTTCAGCATTTATGTCAATTATTTTTCTACCCAAACGTGTGAGAGTAGGTTCCTGATCTGATTCTGTGTAATTCACCGCTCGCAACAAGTGCAGTTGTTTTAATGCCATATAAATTTCGTTGGCATTTGGTGGGTTTATTAAATTGCTTATAAAATTAACCGGCTTCTTGGTAAAGTCCATGACTTTGAGGCAGTAAGATAACAAACTTTGATTTTCCGGGATTTTATGTTCGCACATAGCATTATACCGTTCTTCGGTATATGCACGATAAACTAGACCATCTGATACTCTACCAGCACGGCCAGCTCGCTGATTGGCCGAGCTTTGTGAAATCATGTTTAATTGAACGTTAAATGCATCAATCTTTGGAATATATTTTATGGATTTTTCGTATCCACTGTCTATGACAAACTTTAAATTTGGCAGAGTAATTGACGTCTCTGCGATATTTGTTGATAAATAAATTAGCCGGTTTTTAGAGATCGAAGTAATTTCGTTTACATCTTTTCTTCCATTACAAAGTTTACGATGCAAACGTCGGATTTCTAAAGAATAGTTTTTACTTAGCTTGTGTGCCTTAATATGTTCTTCGCACATATTTATTTCATCCATGCCCGGTAAAAATATGAGAATATCTTCTTGTTCGTTTGTAGAAGACTGAATAAATTGAAACATTTTGTTCACAATTTCATTGTATGGAATTATGGATTTCAATTCAATATTAAATGATTCATCAACATCTTCATCATTATCGTTTTGATGAGATGATGATGGCGATGCATATTGTATTGTCAATTTTTGAGCTTGACCGGGAATATTAATAATATTTGGCGTGTAGCCATATTTTATGAAGTATGAATGAAATTTTTCGGTATTTAGTGTTGCCGACATAACAACTAATTTAATTTCCGGGTAATGTCTTAAAATATTCGTTAAAATTAATATACACGAATCGGAATCGATGTTTCCTTCGTGCGCTTCGTCTATAACTATATGTGAGATGGGAACACGTTTTTGGCTGGCTACTAATGACTTAAGTATCAAAATCAATACTCCAGACGTTAGAAATACTAAATTGGTCCGATCTGTGGTCGCGTTTTCTTTGTGTATATGTGAACCAATAACGAAACCACCAGCATAGTTATTTGAGAGTGTTTGGGCAGCTTTTTGTGCGGAAATTCTTTTTGGCTCACCAATTAATATTAAACCGGCTTTTCTTTGTTGATTCATTTTTTCGAGTAATGCATGTGGAACTAGTATCGTCTTTCCACAGCCGGTACCACCAATTAATATCGTGATTTTATTTTTATCGATAGAATGAAGGATGTTATCAATGGAAAAGTATGCCGGCAAATTTCTTAACATTTTTGAAATTTCTGACAATTTCTCTTGCGTGAAATTATCCGGAAATATTTGATGTTTTGGCCTTGGTGGCGGATATTTTTGTCCGGTTATGTATTGTGGCAATGAAATGGTGAAATTATCAATATCTTCGAAATTATCAACCGGTAGCGTATCATTTTCAATGTTATTTACAATTTTTCCAACTAAATCTATATTGGTAACATATTTATAGTAGGCCGGGAATTTTTCGTTTTTTTTATCTTCAACTGTATCATCAAGCATGTCTACATCGTCATTATTACTACTTAAACTACTACTATCTATATATATGACCGATTCAATTGTGAGAATTTCGTCTTCCCAACATAAATTTAAATGATCGGAATCACTTTTTGATAACATGATTGTGTTATTTTTGCCGGGCAGTATGTCTGATAATCCATAAACTCTGCACTCTTTATTTTCGAATCTAATAACTAGCTCTTTGTTCCAAAACAACACCGGAACGATTGCGAACCCGGAATCAATTTTTAAGCCACTAGGGCACTGAATATTTGTTACTTCTATACGATCCATATTTTATACGATATTTAACCGGAAATTGACTAAAAAAAACTGAATTTACGTTGCTATTATTGCAAAAATCATGACATAAATACATAATGATAAAAAAAGGTTAGAACTACTTACTCAATTTTTAAAGGCACAGTTTTCTGCAAAATTTCCAGTTGGTTGTGTGTTGTTTTGTGAAACTGATAAATAAAGAACAAAAAAAAAATTAAAAATATAGTCGACGAGAGTGAACAAGAAAGAGAGAAAAAAATTAAGTTGCATTTTTACTGTGTGTGAAGAAAAGAAAAAACTACAATAAAAAAAATCGAATGAAATGATCTTTAAAACATGAGGAAGTATTGTAGCACAATTCGAATTGCTAATAGCCAAAGCGAGAGAGTTTCTTTTATAAATTCCTTCATTGAATGTCCAACAGACGATTCACTCGATATTCGGATTCTAGAGCTCAATACCTTTCCAACGACCCCCTAACCGTCAAAATCGATGACACTTTTCGAAAACTTCAGCGTTTTAAAAATTTCATATGAATCTCTATGAAAAATCAAAATGTCTGTCTGTCTGTGCGCGATTTTGCGTACTCGATTCTGATCTCTTTGAAACTTTCTGTGATTAAAGTACACAAAAAACTAAGACTTTTTTGTTCCGGCACTTTTCGATTTGGCCGCCATGTTGGCCGTGGCCAGCCTCCAAAAGTAACTTTTCGACTTTTTTCCCTATGGTCACCGAAGCGCCATGACTTGACACCCCCCAGACATATGCATATCATTGGAAAGGTCTTGAAGTGAGCTATCGAATGGAGTCATTTGCGGTCCAAAAATTTCAATGTGGGGTGGCTAAATTGGCCAAAAACCAAAAATGTACCGTTCGGCCGGACACATAACGTCCATTACTTAGAAAACAAGCTCAAGGATTTTTTAGAAAATTTCACCGATTTTAGGCCCAAGTCTAAGCTATAATATGCCGCATAGCTCATATCCCAGAAAATTCTTGTTTTCAAGATATGGCCTTCGATAGTGCAAAAATGGCCAAAAATGGCCATTTTTTCAAACAATCGCTGTGGCACCTATACTTGACTTACGCAAGGCATATGCATATTCGTTGGAAAGGTCTTAAAGTAAGCTATCGAATAGTGCGATCCAATTGCGACTTAAAAATTTCAAGTTCAGGTGGCCAAATCGGTCAAAAATGGTCACTTTCTCGAAAAAGACTGTATAGGTTCTTTTTGAAAATTCATCAATTTTAGCCCCAAGTCAAAGATAAAAAAAATGTGCATACCACACACCACTGCTAAAACCTCTGTTCCTCATTATGATCCATAATTTATATCATTTTGATCCAAAAATATCCTAAAAATCCATATTTTCATTGTATTTGAAAAATATTCAAATCCATGGGTCTTGAATCTTTAACTTGGAAAATAGCACTTACAAAACTATTGATATCAAATAAAAAACCTCTATCGAGTTAGAGAACGAGTGACGAAACCAAAATTTGAAACACAAAATTTCTGATATCAATTTTGTGACGAAAATAGTTGGTAGATATATTTTCTTTGTACTGTGAATATAAACTTAATATACATTTGTAAATTCGGAACGTTGCTTCATTGCGTCAGTATGAACTCAAAGTAAAAAGGAGAAAATTTCTGCAACGTTTTGAATATACAAATGTATATTAAGTTTATATTCACAGTACAAAGAAAAAATATCTACCAACTATTTTCGTCACAAAATTGATATCAGAAATTTTGTGTTTCAAATGTAGGTTTCGTCACTCGTTCTCTAACTCGATAGAGGTTTTTTATTTGATATGTTAACACAGTAACGAAGAAATGAAAATATTTTCGAGTTGCGTCATGACACCGTCGAACGTAATGGCCGAAAAGCGTTTGAAAGCTGATGTTTTGGAACCGCAAATGCAGAAAATAACCGAATACACTTATTCTTGGTGTATTAACATCGAGCAATAAATTGATTACTTTTTTCCCCTTTTCTAGTCTGACTAATTTTCCATCGCCAAGCAAACAAAAAAAACTTAATAAAACCAGCAAGCAAAATAAAAAGATTACTATAATTTAATTACCTTTGAAAATGGGACTTTTTCATTCGATCTTTTGGGAATAAAATCGAAACGCAACTGTCAACGTACGAGCCATTACGTATGTGACTATTGCCATCGCAAAGTCATACAATCACTTTTTTGGCGTCACATTATAATGTTACTGTTTTAATGCTTAATCCTTTTCGATTATATTCGAATAGAGACGGTTTTTTATGAAGAAGAAGAAGAGAGCAAGAAATCTCAAAAGAAATCAATAGATACGCAAACATCGATGGGAAAATCGAGAATGAATGCAACGATTTACATGTGAGTCTCAAGAGAAATAAGCTGAAAACAGTTGGAAAAAAATTGCAAGTCGAAATTAGACTGAAATAAATGTAATGACAACCAGAGAGATATTCTCAACGACTTCTTCGTCAACTTTATACGATGCTCGAGTAAAGATTTTTCTTGCTTATATCGAGAGTGTTGATGTGAACGATGTGCAAATGTACATCAATTGTAGCATCTCTTTATTTGTTGAAAAAAAAAATACTATGAATTTAAAGAGCTAAAAAAGGGGCGATCATTTCTATTGAAATGAAATCTAACGGTTATATCACTTTTGTGAGCTGCAGTTATTCATTCAATCGGTTTCATTCCAACGACAAACTTGCTGAGAATCGATATGTTGACCTGAATAACCCACCGAGAATTATGGTTGGTGGCCAACTGAAAATATTCCATTGTAAACTTTGTAAAGCGCAAAATATTATGGAATACGATTTAGAAAAATATCGATTGAATAAACATAAGAAAGTTCAGATCTATGGTAACATTTTCGTTTTGATTAAAACAAAACGTCATTGCAAAATATGCAATACCATGATAGATGAAGGCTAATTTGGAAGTCACATGAAGAAAAACCATCAATGGCGCAAAGAAATATCCAATGTGAAGATGTCCATGTGTGGAATTTGCGATGTAATGACGCTCTAACGAAATATGAAAAAACATCACTAGAGACAACATCGTACCTATATACCATTCAAAATGAACTACATGAAATACAACACGTACCGGCAAAAATTCTCATGTCAGATATGCGGGCGACAAATTACCGAAGAACATCTGAAATAACTGGAAATAACATAAACTGATGCAATGCCTTTCATTCAAAACAATGAACATGATGGCTTTGGATGATGTTTTTTTTTTTTAATTTCAAGTTAGTATAAACGAGATACTTTGAATTAAACACACCTGGCGTTATGTTTTTTTGTTTTGTTCAAATTGAAAATGAATAAAGATTAAAGAAACACTCAAAGAAAATTGGTCTTTTTCTTTTAATAAAACTTGAATAATGTCATTAAAATAAGCGATTGAACAATAATTGCTCTATTTTGATTGGGCATGCGGCTTGCGATCAATACAAATAACTTTTGTTCTACGACTTTGAGTCGTATGATGAGGGGATTGATTCTAAAACTACAGTTTAATTAATTTTAAAAAATGTTTAAATGAATAAACACTTGGTGTTGATGGGAATTTTTTTAGGGGGTGATAAAACATTTTGAACCATAAGAGGTCCTCCAAATAGAGAAAATGAAGTTATCTACTCTTTCAACGTGTATATCATTTTTGCTGTTTTATTCAGGTACGACCTCAAAAAAAGAAAGCAAAAAATCATTTTTAAATTTAAAGAGAAAAAAATTTTTTGTCTCTTTCAAATTAAGTTTAATCAATGGTATGCAGGACAATGGCGAAGAAGAAATTACATCCTCCAACTTGCTGGATCAATTTAGTAAAAAAGCGGCAGAAAAAGGATTCAGGGATCAAAGTTGCAATTCATAATCAAGATTTCGAAAACAGTTGGCAAGTTAAAAAAGAAACTCGAGACGCCACCAAAAGAATTCATTGATAGCAAAAAATTGAAAAGAAAATTGGCAAGTGTGCCGAACAACGTGACACTCACAATCAACTTTTACTAAAGTAAACGGTCGTGAATTTCTCACCCGAGTGCTTGGATTTTATAAATAATGCTCAGGCTGCAGATATTCAGAGTGTTAGTGCCGTAATTTGCAAAGAAATAGAATTTATACCGCCGTACGATAAATTTTTCGATAAATGGTATAATGCCTGGGATATGGATCCAATTAGCGAAAACCATTTGAGTCAAGTCTATAAAGAATTCCCGGTCATGGCCACACAATGTAGAATTTATACCACAAACGGTTGGCGGAAGTCGAGACAGCAGAAACAACGGTTAAATTTTCTCACGAAATTAGTAAACACCGACTTTGACAGACTTTTGAAACTTAATCCGGACGGAAAGAGCGATGCTGTACAGGCCAGTGAAATTTTTGTGAGATTACATCCGCTTTTGGAAAGATTATTTCAAAATTTGGGTCACGTTTTTAATCACCTTAAAGAAGTTAGGGATGTTCTTAGAGCATACAACGCAGATCGTGTTATTGGATCGAATTTTTTGATGGAATGAGAGAGACGTTAGCATCAAAACGAAAAAAAATTAATCAAAAAAGAATAATGTGGATCCGTTATCAACAGTAACTTTAATTCTTTTTGATTGTGTGATGGTTCTAATAAAAGAATGCAGACAAAGAGAATTTTTGAAAGTTCATTTTATCTCTTCTTTTCTTTTCCTTCGTTTAATTTTGTACAATTTTTCAGACTTTCTAAAAGTAAGTTTGTGAAATGGATCGAAGAGGTAATTAAAGATCCTTTCGGAAGCAAAGGATTTTAGCAAAACAGTTTAACACTCGTGACATAGCAGCCTTGCGCTTTATATTAACCACTGAATTTACTTCCACGCCCTTTTGGTTGCCCTTTTTTATATGAATATTTATAAAATATAGTACTTACATCTCGAATTTCCTTGATTTTTACCGCCACCCTTTCCAATAACAC